CTCGGTGGAACCACATATTTGAAAGGAACAGAAGTGTTCACGCCGTAGTGTTATTATCACTATTGATTTCATGAGCTTTTTTTTCATAATATATGAGGCGGGAACTGTAAACCTTCACGTGGGGAAACATTTTAAGTTTGAAAGAAGACTTGAGCAGCTTTAAGAGGAGTGTAGGATCGCGTTGTGTGCCATCAGGTTATACTGTAGGTACCAAAGTTCTGGTCAAGCTGATTTTCAGGCCCAAAGTTTTTATTTCATGAGAGGAAAAAGGGACACCCGATGCATTAAAGCAACATTTTCACCTTATCCACCTTAATATTCTTCAGTTAAAACCCTTTAAAATACCAATGAAACCTTTTTCTTCCACTCGTTCGGCATATTAAGTAGACCTCGCCTCGGTCCTGTCAACAAAGGTACCAATCTCTATGACTATGAACACAAAGCATTCTCAGACAGTCACTTCTTTTGCATTTTTTTTTCAGATATTCTTAGTTCTCTAATCAAGAAACTTTACTGACAAGACAACCTGTCTGAGAAACGATCACTTTTACCTTCTTCTTGTGTGACGAACAGTTTCACTTCTACACCTTCGTGTTAAACTTTCTAGTTTTGTCCGTCGTGCACACATACAGTATACAGCGTCAGCATGGACGATCATCATATAATGACAAGTTTACCCAAAAGAGAATGACCTTATGCAGTATTCACTTTGTCAGCACCGCAACAGCACTAGTTGTCACTTTTTTTTTGGTTATTTGGCGGTTGAATATCTCCCTCATTAACTAACTGTGTTACCGCCAGTTACGGAAAAGAAAAAAAAAAAAGTCGAGAGAAAAAAGTCCAGACACTCGTCTTTCTTTCCCCCTCCTCTGCTCCCGCAGCTTTTTCAGGTGAATTTGAGAGAAAACCAGAGAAGCGTCTCCCCCGTTCACACTCCTCCGCACTACACTTCCATCCACACATTCTTTCATTCACAGACGTTTTTTTTTTTTTTTTTTTTTTTTATTCAGCCGTTTACACGAGAAACAAATCCGCAATGTCGTCAAAATGGCTCGCGTAAAGAAGGTAGGACGTGCTGAATTTAAGATACACAGACCGAAAAGTCAAAACATTCTGTGAGGAACCAATCTACGCCTTTGAACACCAGACTTAAAGCCTAACATAGGTACATAACCACGCTTTACATGAATACTCTCCTTTTGAAAACCTTCAAACAATGTCATTTTATCTCAAATTATGTCTTTTCTGGAGGATTTGATTTTCGGTCTTTTTGCCATAATTGACAGGACGGTGCTAGATTAGGAAATCAGGAGAGAGAGCGAGGTATGACATGTGGGAAGGGAGAGCCACAGGCCAGACTTGAACCTGGGCCGCCCGCTTGGAGGACTACAGCCTCCGCACATCTTGACCTTCCTGCTAGGCCATCAGCGTCCCTGCAACTACATCTTAATAAAAAGTATGACAGGGCCGCAAGGTGGATCTTTAAGCGAACTCTTGTAACGTAACAAAGTCATTTTCGCGTCTTTGCACGCACAACATAAAAGAGTCAAAAACTAAGCTGTGCTGATTTGTCTTCGATTTTTGAGGAATTTGAAATGTGTAGGCGGGCGGCTGCACATGTAAAGATAATTTGGAATATGTCTTCATCTTGGTGTCTTTCCATAGCGTGTTACAAATGACTCAGATATCTTTATTGGTAATGTGTTTTATATTAAAGTGTATCAAAGGAGCTGAAACATTAGCCGTAAAAGACCTCAGATTAAAAACACTTGTATGAAATGTTAAGGGAGGCCGGTTATCCATAGCAGTCTGAATGGACCTCCAGTTACATCACACATTAAAGGAACATTGGTGATATTATAATTCATGCTAAAACTGAGGTTATTGTTTTGCACAGGTTGAGTAGTTACCACATGATTATCTATAGTTCATGTTAATGCTGAGGTTTCCAGCTATGAGATATAGTCACACTGTACAAGTGACCTCAGCATTAACATGATCACCTACACACACACACACACACACACACACACACACACACAGACAGACACACAACTTTTGCTCTTTTTCTCCCTCCCCCTCTTTGGAACATGATAGGTTACTTTGTTAGACGATCAAAAACACACAGATTATTTGAACGGATTGTAACCGCTGCTGTTGTTTATTTACTAGCCTGGCATTAGAAGTGCTTTTGGACACATACTGGATTCAACTTATTGATCAGCGAGCACATTCAGTTCGACATGTTTTTTCTCTTGGATTTGCTTCACAAAAATGCAATTTGTAAACTCTGTGTTTGTACGCAGATCACAGGTCATGGCCCTTAAAGTTTCACTCGTGATTGTCAATCACACAATGTTGAGAGTCCTACAGCTCTGGCACGCTCTCTCATGTTTCACTTGTTGCTTGTTTGTTCGGTGATAGCTTTTAGAATAAATTAAAGATATATCATTCCAGCTTGAAATGGTCAGATTTTGAAAATTTAAATTGTGATTATAAATGAAAAGGCTGCAAAATTTGATTACTATTTTTTCACACAATTAGTAATATGTTCACTGAAGTATTTCCTATCAATTGTTCAACTTGATATTTTATAATAATAATATTTTATACATTTACTTTTAAAGTCAAACATGTTCGTTATGCAGCTTTACATAACATAAGGTCATGACACCACATGATAATAACATCTGAGGACTGTGCAGGTAATGTCGCAGATATTTGAAATATGAAGGAATCAATTGGTTTTAACTACAAAATAACAAAACTGTGTCAATAAGACAGAACCATCGTCACCAAACAAACTTAAAATTCTAGAGGTGAGCTGCATTGATGACGCAATTTTCCAAATTTCTCATCCCAACTGTACTCTGACTATATCCTCAAAGCCCCCCTCGTGAATTTCCATGAGAAGTTGGAAAGTGTGGAAGCAGTGACCCTCTGAGGTCGACGCAGTCCTATACGACATAACAGGATTGTGTTTACATTATCAGCTCTAAAAAATACTGTAAAATCCACTCTCTCTGTCACGGCGGCTTTCAGGTGATAAGCTCTGTGTGTTTATGCAACATCCAGGGGCTTTTATCCCACTGAGAAGATCAGTGTATATTCAGCGAATATCCAGATTCAACCCTCCTAAAATGAACGTTTCACGTATTCATTTTAGCGAATAGTGTAATTTCTGTTTGCTCACTCGGCTAAAGCGGACGCTGACCTCTTGGGTTGATCTGTTGATCAATCAGAGGATCTGTGATCTACAGTGTTTTTTTTCACCTCTCCCTGATCACTAGGACAAAGTAGAACCCGTTTAGGAGGCCAAATGCCTTAGTCCTTGTTTTTTATATTTCTATTTCAACATATATCTGTAAAATGTCATATTCGATTTTAATTGTATTTTGTATTCATGGTATAATAAGTATTAGGGACTTCATGTGACATTCTTTTGGGAGAGACATTCTGATTCTCCAGATGTATACAACGTGGTTGTGCATTACTCTGGTGAGATTATTACGGGACGAGACCAGGTGCTAAAAAATGAGCAGAAAAAGCCTGAGACCTCAGCGGGTTAATGACGTTTCTGTCACATCACCGCTGTAAGACGATGAGATCTTAGTTATTAATGAATCTGCTGCATAACCTTTTCTGTTGACAGCATGCTTTTTTTCCACACCTTCATTTATAATATGCACTAAGGCTATATGCTCTATGGCAGCGTCTTTTAATTTAACCCTGTGTCTTCCCTCCTGAGGGACGGACATGTGTGTATTAGAAACTCAAGAAGATTTCAGGACTGTCCGAACATTTTCTGGAAAATGCATGTGTGAAAATTGCTTAAGATTACCATCAAAAATAAATTGACTTTGTTGTAAAATTGTTAAAATAACATTCTTTGTAAAGCTTTTTGTCAAGTGATGTGACTTCATTTTGATGTCCCCCATGACCACACATAACAAGCCCGTTAACAAAGTAGGATCCTGGTTGCAGGAGATTTGTGTTTGCTACATACATTTAATTTAATTTAATTCAATTCAAACCGACTTTTCCCCGTGTGTCTGTGCTTGTCTGTACGTGTGTATGTGTGTGTATGTGTGTGTCAGGTGATATGGTTCAAAGGCTTGTTGTCCTGTCAGTGGTCGTGTTTGTGGTTACATGTGTATGTGTGAGTGGGCGATGACATAACAAAGGTTGAAAGCATAATGCTAGCGTTTAAAACTTGGGTTCATATACGTCTTATGGGTGAGTGTGGAGGGTGAGTGGGTGGGTGAGTGGGTGGATGAGTGGGTGGGTGAGTGGGATGGGCTGAAGGGGGTTTAGAGGGATCCCTGAACCTCATCGTTAGACGTTATCTTCCTTCCTGTTTCATTCTCTTTCAGTTCCTGTCAGCTGACTCAGCCGGTGAATCTTGATCTGGTAAACATCTAAGCCACCGGCACACACACGCACACACACACACACACACACACACACACACATACACACACACACACACACACACACGCACGCTCAACACACACACACACACACACACACACACACACACACACTTGAGGTCTGAAAGATACATGCATTTCTCACACGTACAAACACCTGTATCACATGATGCATTAAAATAACTATTAGATAAGCCAAACAGGAGCGTATAAATGAATCATTTATAATAAATGTGCATTAATGTTATTAGAAGTGTACAAATAACTGATAAGAAACTTTTAAGATTCATTCATTTTACTCTAATTACAACAACACAACCTCAGCAGAAATGTCTTTTCAAAAAGAGGAACAACAAAAATCTACAAAAGCACAAGCGAGTCAGGAAAGGGGCACTAGAAAAGAACTTCGGTTCAAAGTAGATAGAAAGCCCGACGGATAAAAAGCGAGCAAACACCAGAAGAAAGGCAGAATATGAAAGAGAGAAAGAGAAAGAGATAAGGACAGGCGAAGAGACGAAAAGACAGACAGAGAACTAGTGGAGGAGGGGGGGGGCAGAGAGATAAAGATAGCTGAAAGGAGGGAGATCCGTCAGCATTTGTTTCCTCAGGATGTGGTTACCACGACGACGAAAAGGCAGCGAGGCAACATCACTACCCTGGTCCCCTCTGACACCTGCAAGAGTGTATATGACTGTGTGAAAGTCAGAGTGTGTGTGTGTGTGTGTGTGTTTCAGTGAGGAACTGAGTGAGTAAATGAGTGTGAGCATGTGTCTGTTTGTGAAAAGTGCGTATGTGGTCTGTGTATGATGTTAATGTGTGTGTGTGTGTGTGTGTGTGTGTGTGTGTGTGTGTGTGTGTGTGTGTGTGTGTGTGTGTGTGTGTGTGTATATGTATGTGTGTGTGTTGGCCGGGTAAGAGAGACAGATAGGAAGCACAGTGCGAGAGGCAAAATCTAAACGGGGAAATTATCAGACAAGCACAAGACAGCGAAGAGTGGAAAATCATTAAAATACAGAAGAACACCATGAAGAAAATAAGAAGAACAACGACCGGGACTCGAAAACATGAACACCACAAGACGAATATATGCAAAAAGGAAATTAAGCGCCGAGGACTGGTAAAAAAAACCCAAAAAACATCTACCGTGTAATTCTCTTTTCATCTTATCTTCCTTCGTTCTTCGTTCTCTCCCTCTGACTCACTCATTGTCCTATTTAGAGCAGAATGTGGTTTCAAGTTAGAAACAAAAACCAACCGAGACGTAGTGACACAACATAGCCTTTGTGTGTACAAAGTGATTTTACAAAAAGACGCTGTAAAAACTTGTTCAAGGAGATGAAGATAAAGTAAACGGTTATGCCGCCTCTACTCGTGATTTTACAGCGATAACGTACGAAAGTTAGCTTCTCATTAGCTTCTTTTCCGTCTGTATAGTTCCCTTCGGGTTTACCTCGAACCCCGTATCTGAACTCAACTACAACAAACAACCTGTCTATGGGTAACAAATAGCCACCACTTAAATGAAGCATTCATAGCATAAATCCTCAAGAGAAATTTTATTGGAACAACCTTTTGAATAAAAATGGCGCAATAGCGAACGACTGACTAGTCCAAGTAGTCCAAGTAAGCTACGATAGCAATTAACATAAATATGGATTTGGACATTCAATCAATTTATCACTGGAAATATTTAATATTACTAAATCACTTGTTGTATTTTAAAAGCAGAAAAGTACAGGGATTGATATTCTGAGACTTGTAAAGAGAGAAACAAAAAAACATATTCCATAGATCAGAGGTGTATCCAACTTTTTTGTCTGGGTTTGCCCAACTGGGGGGATCGACCTATGCAGGGTTGGCATTCGTGTGCACACACATATATTAATTTACCCTTTCTATCGGCATGTATTGCATCTACTTTAAAGAAACAAAAGAAAACAGCAACATATAAATCATCTTAGATTAAATCTTAAGGACTCAAAAAGAAGATGTTTGTCCAAAGTTACAATTTAAAGTACTTACAGAAATTCTGTTTCGGTACTGAAACATTGCTAGTCAGTTCACTGAAGGTAAGACAGTTTGCTTTTACATTTTTATGGACTCATTTCCTTCCATACGCACCTGCCTCAGGAAGTACTTGTGCTAAGTTTTTGAATACAACTAAAAAGTCTGGACAATATATGCGTATATGCTCGAAGTATAGAAAAGTATTAGCAGTGTGTTGCAACACAATGCAGAATAGTTGATATTAACACAAGACCGGCCTCTGACAAACAGATAGCCAATCATACCTTTATTAGGATTTTTGGGTGGCACCTGAGGAGCCCATTGGTTTTTCAAGGGGGGGCCCATGCCACCCTTGGACACACCCCTGCAAAAGATATAGGTAGCCAACTTCTTCTATAGCTGTGACAGCAGAAACTACAGACTATGTGTAGAGCACAAAAATGTATAAATAGCATAGCCCTCGGATTTAAACCATAGGTTTCAAGGGCTGTTCAAACTTTGGAAAATACTTTGAGGGCCTAACAAATTACTGAACACATCATAGCTGAGTTGAGCATGCATGCCACAGTTTTAATTTCACTTCAAATGATTTCACATTTGAAAGCAGGAAGCTGGGACTTTGCAGCTCGACGTTCAGCTCTGAAAGGTACTTGGTAACGTCCACCATGAAGGACAAATCACACTGCCACTTGCTAACACCTAGTTCCACAACGCTTTCCCCCCTCGGTCTCTATGAAGTGATCTTCGTTCAATTTGTAAAACTGGGTGGGCATATGTGTGATCTCCTTACTCAGATTCCCCTTGTAGCTCTTTGAACTGGCCGCTGTTAAGCCCTCTGTTTTTGTTGAAGCTCATGATGGAAACGACAGTTGTCACAACATTGTGTTGTTCAGGAAACGTGCACACAGACTCTTTATGTATGATACATACTAAATAACTTGGTTCAAGACTGAGACAACTGATTTCTTCTTTGACTAGTGCAATAAAACTTAACTGCTGGCCAACCATAGCTGTTGCTATGTCTGATGCAAGAACTGCCATTTGTACTCGCAAGTTATTACACTGAGCATGTTTGGAGCTGTATTGGCGCTCGTAATTGGCTTTTTTCATCACTGCCAATGTGTCCCCACAAACCAGTCACACTGAAGTCACAAATAGTTTGTTCATTTCACATGATAAGTGCGACAAAATGTGGTATAACAACCTACTGCTGAAGGTTAACTTTTGTAAATTCATCCTTATAATATTTTCTCTGTCTCCTTTAGGCCTTCTAGCTTTACCTTGCTAGCTATCATGGATGACCATTCCGCCACCCAATCCTTCCACAACCACAACCACAACCACAACCACCACCAAACACAGTTACCCTCCTTTCACCTCGCCTTGCCCAGCCTCCAGAGCATTGAAGTGGGATATCTGTCCTCTCGGCATGCCCTGGATCCTCTGAGGCAATATGGAGGTAGAGAAGAGGATTCCAAAACCTCCTTCAACGCCTATCCCAACGAAAGGAGGGGTAGCAGTGGAGATGGCAGAGGCTTGCTGAATGCAAGTGGTGGCAGTTTGGATGTAAACTCGGGAGGCCATTTTGATGGAGAAAACGTTCGAGGCGGCAAGTTCAGTGACACTTTGTTTGGCGTTTGCAAAAAAGAGGAGGTTTGGGAGGATGGGGAGAGTTGTGAAAGCGCTGCAGACCATTTTAACAGTGACGGAGGTTGCTACAATCACACAAACAACTTTTTCTACACTTCGAATTGTGGCAGTGAAGTCAACAAAGTAAACTATAATAATTGTGTCGACGCTAGCTATGAAGCTAAACGGGAAACAGTTCACAGCAGTGAGGCTAACGTTAGCCACCCTTTTAGACAAACAGCTTCCTACATCAAGAGTGAACCAGGGATATGTAGTGATGACCGTGTAAATTATTGTAGGACTGATTCGAGAGTTAGTGATAATTATTTAGGAAGAGAGGAGGATTTTGGGTCCAGCTGTGGCTCAGGTGAGGATCAGCAACAACTAGCAGAGGTTGAGGGAGCCTGGCAGAGTGTCTCCCCCTTCAGTCAGACCGAAGAAGGCCGGTGGAGAGGAACAGAAGCCACCTCCTCAGGATGCCCATCCCAAAGATCACCTTTAGGAATCATGAGTGGGATGCACACTCAGAAACTGGACTCTTTCTCTGAAGCTTTCCTCTCCCAACGAAGGATGAGGTTCCCCAAGATTCCCATTGGGGATTCCTCTCAACAGATCTGGGGTTTTGGAGACCGGGGAGATGAAAAACACAGCTTTGCTTTTGATTCAGACTCCTACCTGCCTCCCTCCTCTTCTTCATCACCCGCTCACCCCACTCTTCCATCCTTTCCCTCTCCTCCCACATCTTCTCACCTCATGTCTTCAGTTCTTAGCCCGCCTCCAACACCTCTACCTGCTTCTTCCAATTCCCCTTCAAAAATGGACTCTCCCATTGCATCTGGGGGCTATGGACATTCATTGCCTCAGGGGGGAGAACCAATTGGTGCACTCCAGTTTTTTGCCTCCCACCTTCAGTGTTTCCCATCTGTCCATACTGCTGGGAAGTTATGGAAGTTTCCACTGCCGTCGCATTGCTTTCCACAGTCATCAGGAGACAACAGCAACATGACATATTCTCATGCAAGAGACTATGGCAACATTACAGGTTAGCTATATAGTGTGTTTCTTAAAATAAAAGATTAACAGATTTTTGTTTGGTCTGACTGACTGCATTTAATACTGAGCATTGCCAACATAATTACCAAAACCGTAACATGCCTTTTTTTCTACCATTTTTGTCCTCCTCTTCTAATTCTTTCAGTCTCGCACAGCATCCCTCCTTATCCACAATCGTCATTCCACACTTCCTCTACGGACCAGCCATCATTTACCCCGATCAGAACCCTCCGTCCACCTAACACTGCATCCCTCCATTCGTCCCCTCATCTTTCCTCTCATCCATCTCATCTTTCCAGTCAACATTATGAGGCAGCAGAAAAGACCACACATCACATGATGACCCAGCAAGTAAAAAATGGGCTCATCATTCTGAACCAATCACAGGTACAGTCTGGTGGTCCCTCTACTTTATACCACAAGAAGCAATTTTAGCTGACATTTGAGGAAATAAGGTTGCATATTTCCTCTTTCTGAGTTCATGAGTAATTAAGTATTTCTAGAGTTCTCACATTTTTAGCATAGACTGTATAAAACACTGATGTAGTCATAAGTGATTTCAACCTTAGGTTTCTAAAGAAGCGCGGTTAAACCAAAGATGTTGGTCGCCATATTGGAAATCCTGACTCTACCTAACTTTTTTCAATCTAGTAGCAGGTAAAGAGGTGAATTGAGACGGTACTTTAGCCTCTTGGCAAACAGCTACAATGTGCCCACCTGTCAGTCGAATCATCCAAGACCCTTATTTTGCTTTAATATGCAAAAATCTAAAAATAATCAAATAAAACAAAACATACCAGTTTTTACCAATGGAGATGAACTATATAGACCAACATTTTTTATTTTCTACCAAGCTGTAGAGATGTTTATTTCTGCAGTAAAAATGGACATTTAAACATGGGCGTTCCTTGGCTTTGGAGTGAGCCTCAAGTTGACAATCAAGGAACTGCAGTTTTTAGTACTTTTGCTTTGGCTTCATTTTTCCACACCAGGATTTGACACTTGGTTGTGCGCACACATTTATAATACACCTTTAATTGATGCATAGCCCTTGCTAACATAATATTGTTAAACCATACGATTTTTTTAAAGATTATTTGTCATTTCGCTAATTTTTAGTGGTTACAACGTAAACTAACTTTTGTTTCTACAAACACCTAAGTAAAGGCTAAATATGTTTATCCAAAATAAAATAAAATGAAAATATTAAAACAAGCCACATTGTCGCAGTGGCGTTGCCAGGATGGCACACTGACGTCACTCCTCCGTCAACAAAGCCCATGACACTGGGACGTGAGGAGGCAACACTCGCTATAGCTGAGATAAACAGAAGCAGTGGGTGTACACATATCTGTTGTTTGTCAAGAAATCACGTCAGCTCAAACTACATATCTGCTTCACAAACCACAGTCTGAGTCTGGGGTTTTATTTTTAAACACGTTGAGTGGGCTTATTATGTATATGACACAGATTTGGAGATTGCGATTTACCCTTGATAGACCAAAGCTAAATATGTCATGGACCTATACAGTATGTGTTCTAGTAAAGTAAAGAAGTAATGGGTAAATGGAAAATAACTTGTTTTTTCAGATGCCTGTGCAGAGGTTTCCAAACTGCAAAAGCGTTTTACATCAAAATGGCTTTCATGTGTTTACAGAAACAAGCCTCCAAGGCATACTCTGGAACTCCGTTTCCCAGTATCCTTCACTCCACAAGGGATCAGATAAGGGGTCACTACACTCCACGACCCCTGCTCAATCCTGCACGCAGAGGGAAGGGGCTCTACTCCTGCCAGTCGTCTCTCCATCACAGAGAGCAGGAAGCGGCAGCAGATGAGAAGGATGAGTGTGCTGTTTTTCCGTAAGTACAAGACTGAGATAAATAATTGCTCGGGTCTCATTTCAAAATGACATTCTTATGAATAGTCTTGAGCAGGTCCAACTTCACTTCACATACTGCTTAAACAGTAGGTATTACCTTCTTTCCAGGTATGTCAACGTGGGTCGTGATTTCCAGGCAGAGCTCCCTCCATGTTTTGTAGATGGCAAAGGGTCAGAGGTGTGGTCAGCAGAGGAGGAATCCCTCAGGGAACAGCTGCTCTGGAAACCATGGGGCAAGCTGGATGCCAGTACTGACACACAAGACCAAGGTACATTTAATGCTCAGCATCTTCAAAAAACTTTTGAGAATAATTAGCACATAAGGTGCCATTGAATGCTCATGCTTCAGCTGAGCACTACAATCAAATGACAAGGTCAAGCTACCTTATCTGACAGAAGATGTGTGAATTATTTTAACTGTTATGTTTTGTGTGTTTACATTTACAGTGGAGAAGCTGTTGTCCATGTGCAGTTCTAGCTGCTTACCAGGAGGGGGCAGCAACACAGAGCTGGCGCTGCACTGTCTGCACTACTGTCAGGGGGACATAAAGGTAAGAAGTGAACAGGAGTATTCGATGCTTTCTTTCTTTCTCTCTTTCTTCCCTCCATACATCACGGCTTACTTTCATGCATCATGACTCGTGCTCTTTGTTTCTTTCACCATTGCATGCCTCATCATCTTCTGCACAGGCCACAATGGAGATGCTGCTGTTCTCACAGCCGTTACCTACAGGAGACTACCACTACTCTGGTAACCTTTTTATTTTCTACCTCAGTGGAGAATGTTAGGAATAAAATATTTAAAGCAAGCACAGTTTGGTGTTTGTCGACAACAGCCAATAGCTGAATGCATGTCGGCATATGAGTCAGCAAAGGAGTACATTCCTTCTGTCTGTACAATAGTAGCCTTTGTTGAAGCCTAAACCTCCATCCACTTTCATCACATGCCCCCCCACACCCCCAATCTCTCTCTCGCTCTCTCTCACACAAACACCCTGCCTCTCAGTTTCTTTTGCCACCTTGTGTAATCAAATCCACCAAAAACCATGTGAAGTACAGAGTATACAATGTTCTGTCCTATATAAAAGTGGGGTGTATTTCTGGATACTGTTCTACAGTCTTGGTCCCTGGCATGTAGCAGAAACATCTCCTGTGTCCTTAAACATATGCGGCTGAGTTGCTGCTTGACTTTACACATTACATTACAGGGTTGCATGACGTGGCATTGCACCAAGTTGTGCATTGTGGGACTCATTGGTGTTGTTGTTTTGTTTGTTTTTTGCCATCTGATTGTCCTCCTCTCTCTCTGTACTGTAGGTAGTGATTTGTGGTCGGATAGCGAAAAAAAACGTTTCAGTGCAGCGCTGGAAACCTATGGAAAAGACTTCTCGCTCATACAGAAACTGGTACAGAAACTTTTATTCATGCATGGTTTGTTATTTGTGCTGCATTCTTTAGAGATTTGCGTCTCCATGTTTTCTCTTTCTAATCGGGGTTTAGCCAAAGCCCCAAGTTCTCGAAAATCTATGTACTGCTATTGCATCAGAACTATTTCTGCAGCTTTACAATGGTGTGTGTGTGTGTGTGTGTGTGTGTGTGCACATGTGCAGGTGAGGACTAAAACCACATTCCAGTGTGTTGAATTTTACTACCTAAGCAAGAAGCTCCTGGACAAGCAGAAGAAACTGAAGGCAGAGGCGAGCAGAGATGGAGAAATGGAGCAGCAAAAAAGCGTAAGGAACAATTGAAAAAGCAGCTTATAAATCTGTTTCAAATCTTTGTCCAGCTGTTCCAGCTGAACAAAGAACTTTGGCACCCCAGTGACGTTTGTTTAACTTTGTGTTATACTATCAGGACGTTCCTTTAGTTCTCATCCTCGTTTTATCGTTCTCTTCCTGTTGTTGACCTTGTCCAGTGGGAAGCTGACTTTCCCATGATGCTCTGTGTGCTCCATGACGTCAGATTATAGAACTGAAACAAATTTAACGGAAAATAAGAAAGTTTTGCCTTGAAGAATACAAAGTACCTGGGGTATCCGTGCAGTCATCTGTAATGAGTTAAATGCATTAGATGTTTATCTGGTGTGGAATGCAGCTTAACAAGTCAGTCACAGCAAAGCAGCTTACAATTGGTTCCGTTTTCATAGGTAACGCCCATCTGTCGGCCAGTGGACAGACAGTATGGTCTTCAGGAGGCGGCTCCTGTGCCCTCATTGGCTAATTTCTTCCCCTGCAAGCTGTGTGGCAAGTGAGTACAGCCAGTCACACAGGATGATGCTCTAAAACAAATTGTGTTTGACTTCAGGCAAGACAACAGATGGTTTAGATTTTTCTAGTCCTTTTTTTAAACTCCAGTCTTTCTCCTTCCTGTTTCCTCAAGAATGTTCTATAAAATCAAGTCTCGTAATGCGCACATGAAGATCCACCGCCAGCCTCAGGAGGACTGGACTGACAGGCGGCTTCAGCAACAGATCCTCACCCAGCGTCTGATTCTGAGTAGTCCCAACAACTTCATTGCCACCCCGGGCAGTGCTCTGCAGCAGCCCCAGCCGCCATGTCTGACCGTTGCCTCCTCTATCCCACCTGGAACACCAAACAACATCAACAACGCAGACAATGTCCTTAACTCTATATCAAACAGGAACGCCAGTGTCTCAGATCAAAGCACCGTGGTGACTTACAGCAACATCTCTGATGCAAACTCTCATGTTAGCAATCATTTTCAAGAAGCAAATCAAGAAGAGTCCACCTCTGTCTTACCTTTCCATCAGTCATGGGGCTCATTTGGACATGGCACTAGCCAAGCTACCTTTTACTACAACACAGAAGGGAAAGAGGACGTGGGAGATGGGACAGTGGAGGTAAAAGAGGGGATCAACTGGCAGTAGTGTCTGACTTTCCATGAGCATTACTGCCACTGAGGTTACAGACTTAACAATTCAACTCAAACTAAGTTTAATTCAAACTTCTGTGTTTTTTACAAACTTATTTTTGGAAAACATCGGGGTTTTTTTAAATTAAATTTAAAGATTTTTTCTGTTATTGTTTATTTCATTTGTTGTATATTTAATTGTTTTTGTGCATGCAACATTTGGATCATTTTTTAGTCTTTGGAATGAGCCAGGCAAGTTGCTTCTTCTTCGTTTTCTGTCTGTGTGCTAAGCTAAGCTAACTGTACACCAGGCTGTGGCAGTAGGCATGAGCGTGGTTTCCATTCTCTCGTCAAACGAGGACAAACGTGTGTATTTTCACAAACATGAATTGTGTAAATCAGGAATTACACAAGCAGATACACATCTGTACAGACAGAGACACACTCAGTCTAATGGAACAGTTTGATATAACAACATGATGGGCTAATATTGACCTTTGAGGACCATCGCCTCAGTTCTTGTGCGCCAAAAAACTGACCTGTTGATGGTTAACTACAGTGACTCTCTCTCTCTATTTGTGTGTGTGTGTGTGTGTGTGTATGTGAAAGATGGGTCCTATATCAATCATTAAAACATTAATATATAAGGAAAATTAAAGTATTTCTAAAAGAAAAAAAAAGATACCCTTTGTGTAAATTTTGGTATTTTAGCTGTTTTTATTCTGAATTCACAGAATACCTGATGAGATCAATTATTTACGTATCTGTCTGGGGCTAAGGTTCATTCTCATGGCGGGTGAGTATTCTTTGGTCCCATATCTTCACGGGTGTTTCTGCCACCATAACAGTGATAACAGTATTTGTAAAGGTCTGTATATGGCATGGATTTCTGCCCATGTTTATATTATGGACTAAATGTCCTTCAAGGTGTCCTTGTTGAAGACACATATGTCTTTGAGTCAGCAGGTTCTGGGCTCGATGGATGTATGAATATGTGCTTGATTTGCTACATATATGTATCTGCGCGCAGGTATGTTTTTTTTTTGTATGAATAAAATATTTGTCCCTTATAAAAGTCTGCAAAAGCCTTTAAACTGGTTCCTGTCTGGGGCTGAAGTCCAACCTGTCTAGCACACATTACCTGCTCTATTTTATCTGTCTGACGACTGTTTTTCTTCACCTTATGTTAAGAGCAGGAGCTCTTTCTTATGAATAAACGTTCTAAAGCGGTGTGGGATTTGTCCTCATCATTATTGTTGTAGGCCAGAGCCATGACAGGCATTAAAACTGTTTGCGATCAGCATTTAATAAAGTCAAATGGGCTTTTAGAGGGTCGACATTTGATTAGGTTTGACAGGTGGATAGTTGTGTGTGGCTGCAGATTGTGTTCTCTATTGTTATGCACTGATAATGTGGGAATCAGAACAGCAGTCAATCTCGTGCAGAGATGGGAGCGAGAGAGAGAGAGAGAGAGAGCAAAAGCATGTAGAAAAAGGGGGAGAGGGAGACTAGACCAATAGGGTGAAGGAAGGGGGGGGGGGGACTGAGGAGAGAATAAACAGAGGAGTCAAAGCAGTGGCCTCATGTATTCACGGGGAACTCTTTGCCAGTTAACTGAGCTCATGTGCCAACCCCGGCCCATCCAACTTTCACTTGTTTGCCATAGCAGTGGTGATAAACAAAAGCAACAATTTCAATCATGTGGTATGGTGACAAGTGTCAGTTACAATTAACCAAAGGTAAAAAATGAAGTTATATATAAAGCATACAGAACTGTTACTTTATTAATCATATCCTATTAATAGGGGGGCCTTTACACACTTTATTACTTCACAGCTGAACACTGTACATTTTCCCATAAGTACTATCTCATTACATTTAACAGGAAAACAACAGGTGTGACAAATACAATTAACGAGGGCCGAGTTTCATTAAACCTGCATTTATGAATGTTTTTGTCTTTTGGAAGAAGAGGAAGCTGCTGACACAGAGATGATCTCACGCCTTCCAGAAAGCTCAAACTACAGTAAAACGAACCAGCACGTACAACAGCAGAGACAAGCTCACAAAGCTTCAAGTCCGACTTTGTAAAAAAAGGAAGAGAAAGTACTTTAATATGACTTAAATTGACTTTAACACATGACCTGATTATAAAGATTACTCTCTTTTTTTTTCCACGTTTATAGGGCTTGTAAAGCAAAAATCCCTCACTCCTCTTCGTCCACTAAAGAAGAAATGTTAAGTTGTTAGAACTTGTTTCGCACTCTTTGGGAACAGGTGATAAAATCTCAAGGTTTTATGGCTTACAAGATACTGTACATGTGGGTTGTGTGCTGTCATTGACACAGTTAAAGGTTGGAATCTGTTATACAATCGTTGGCGCAGCCTTCACATTAGTATTATATTTAAACTGGAACATTTATTCTCTCTCCCTCAGCTGCTAAAAACTTGTTATTAAATTAAGGCAATACAACTCTTTATGAGAGGATGCCATAAACAGCTGCTAAAATCTGAGTAGCCCCTACAGAGCTTTTCCCAGACTCATGTACATTCCAGGTAATGCCCGTACAAAGATGTTATCACTGTCTTACTTCAAGAGAGAGGCTTGCTTTAACCACAGAGAACATACAGATCTTTTCCAATCAAGAACAGAATTTGCATGCTAAAAACCACATATCAAATATATACTGCTCCCTTAGGAGAGCGAAAGGTCACTGAATGATCAATATTTAAAAAACCCGCTCTGTAATATCTGTGCACTCTTGTGACAACAACAGAACCTACACTGAGAGTCTGTAACACAGTGAAGGAGCCTCATAAAAATTCTTTTGGCTCGTTCCAATGTGGCATAGCTACTCCTGCACTTGTGATGCAACACTTTGGCACGCTGTCACTGGCCCACTTCTGAGCTCTGACTCTCGCTGCTGCAGAAGGAGCTGCGTGAGAGACTTTGAGAGGATGGTGTTAATCACAACCTTTAAAAGACGAAGAGACAATAAGTGTCAGACAGATAAGGAGAGAGCAGTATGTTTTAAGTTAAAAAAATCTGAGTGTATTCGGAAAAGTAGGTCAAAAATAAAGACACGTTTTTGGCTATTTCAATCGCTCCAGAAGTCCAAATGCGATTCTAATTTTTTGGGTCTCCATGCAGTTTCTATTTGACTAATTCCTTTTGAAACGTAATTCATTTTTTGCTGCTACGTAAACGTGATTGATTTTGAATGCGCGTCATAGGAATGTCAACGACTTCGACTTTGGTAATCTTGAACAGATAAGAGAGCTCATAAGAGCTGATAAACAATCGTGGGAGTGTTCAGGCCTTGTGAGCGGTTGTGTCTGTTGAGATACTGAGTTTCATTCTTGCATCACAACATGTGGTTTGCCTTCTTATTTATGACGTCGGGGGAGACAGTCGTGCACATTTCTTTACTAGGTTATACGTTCATTGGCTTTTAAAATATCAGAACAGGCTGAATTTTCAGTAAGCATTTTCAAATGAAGATGCAGTGTGCATGTGAAGTGAATTTCTTTTCAGAGAAGGCATAGTAGTCTATTGTCCACTTTACAAAGCAGGACTACAAAGCACCATTTTATGAGCCTGCCCTGTAATCAAATCCTTCACTTTTCAGCCTTCCTGCATCAGAGCTTTTTTCTTTCATACTGTGCACCACAACTGATCTCTCCTGTACTCTCTCCTTTCTCCCCTTTCCTCTAGTTCCTCTTTTTAAAGCTACTTGATAGTCTATCAAGTAGCTTCACTCGAAACTGAAATGAAGTTATTTCAAGTTACTCTGATTATTTTGGAGTTAGTACACACATGTAGAAAGAGAACAAATCAAGATTAATCAACATGCATGTATTTAATGAAGTCTATAAGAAGAACAAAAAAAAGTTCTTACCTGTCATGCACACAACTGGTAGCTACACATCTGTCATTAGCATAGACCTATTGATGATAAGCAAAATGTATGAAAAAAAAAATAATGTTCTTGTTTTTGAAGTCTCAAATGCATTAAGCACATTATTAACATATTATACATGTTTTTTGCATTGACTATAAGATAAACAGAGTAAAGCTATTCATTGAAAAGTCAAAGCATGAGTTCCAAATGAACATTTATGCATCCTTTTTTATTATTATTTACTAACAGCAGACATTTAGACTTCATAACCCCCTATATTTACCCTTTGTTGTCATAACCTCATAACAGGAAAACCACAGGTGCGACCAATAGATTAATTAACGAGGGCCCTTTTCCCTTAAACCTAGGCCTACATTCACAGGGTTTTAGTCTTTTGGAACAAAAAGAGAATAGGGAATTATGTTGAAAGCTGTTTAATTTGTCTTCGGGTGTTTGCTAAGTCCATTATTTACATTTCTATTAGCTCTGTTTTGATCTTTGCTTACCCCTTTAGGAGTGTTCACGAGCTCTAAACCTAGCCTATGGCTGTTTAACGTTTGGTGCGAGGGAGTAAGCATTAGCAAGGTAGCACCTGTTTGGTTAGCCTATAGCCACTAGTTTATTAATGACAACTTTATTTCTGCTAACACAAACGCCTTGGTGTTGTTTATAAAAAAGCCTATCATGAGGTTTACGTCCTTCTAGCTATTTTTATTATATTTATTCAGTCTGGCTTTTATATAGTGCTTTATATCAATTCAAATCTTAACATTACTGTATTGTCTTTTTTTATCCTACTACAATTTTAAATCTTTTCCTCTTATGTATTTATTTTAATATCTTGTCGCTTTTATGTGTCGTATTTTATTTTATTTTATTTTTATACATATTTTTTAATTCTTATTGGTGTGCATTAGTCTCTCAATGATTTTATAAACTACTTTATTGTTAATAACTTTTCTGCACTCTTGTTAAGCACTTTGAACTGCAATATATTTTGTCTGAAAGGTGCTGTATAAATAAAGTTTGATTGATTGATTAAGGGCATGTAATTTGTTAATAATATGGATTATTCTTTATGGGGCTTTAAAGTTTTGTTTTATGGTGGCAATTTGTCTTCATTATCTCATATGATCCCCTTTCCTTATCTCGTGTTATGTCCTTACAGTCGATGGTTTTGTCTTGTACACGGAGCTCTCCATTACGGTGGCTGAGAAGTGCAAAGCAAAATTACAAATGTGAGACAAATTAACATTTTGAAAAACCTTTTTTACATTTTTAGAAAACAAAATTACAAAACCAAAAGCACTTGTACCAAGAAGAAAAAAAACACATTTACATCTTATAAAACAAATTTACATCTTATAAAACAAATTTACAAACGACAGAATCTTGACAAAATGGGAATGTACCAAATGTCGGAAGTGACTCGGAGTGAGGGGGTCATTTTGTTTGTTTTGTTTTGTCACGGTACATTCCCTGTCCTACGGTGGCTGGGAAGTGCAAAGCAAAATTACAAAGTGTTAAACACTTTTACAAAATGTGTGACAAATTTACATTTTGAAAAACATTTTTACATTTTATGAAACAAAATTATAAAACCAAAAACACTTACCAAGGACAAAACAAATTTTCAAGATGTGAAACACTTTTACAATCGCTGAGACAAATTTACAAGAGGCAGAACACTTTGACCAGTCCCCAAACAAATTTACAAACGACAGAATCTTGACCGAAAGGTACGGTGGCTGGGAAGTGCAAAGCAAAATTACAAATGTGAGACAAATTTACATTTAAAAAAAACCTTTTTACACTTTTAGAAAACAAAATTACAAAACCAAAAACACTTATACCAAGAAAAAAAAAACACATTTACATCTTATAAAACAAATTTACAAACGACAGAATCTTGACAAAATGGGAATGTACCAAATGTCGGAAGTGACTCGGAGTGAGGGGGTCATTTTGTTTGTTTTGTTTTGTCACGGTACATTCCCTTATCTACGGTGGCTGGGAAGTGCAAAGCAAAATTACAAAGTGTTAAACACTTTTACAAAATGTGAGACAAATTTACATTTTGAAAAACATTTTTACATTTTATGAAACAAAATTACAAAACCAAAAACACTTACCAAGGACAAAACAAATTTACAAGATGTGAAACACTTTTACAATCGCTGAGACAAATTTACAAGAGGCAGAACACTTTGACCAGTCCCCAAACAAATTTACAAATGAGAGAATCTTGACCGAAAGGTACGGTGGCTGGGAAGTGCAAAGCAAAAATTACAAATGTGAGACAAATTTACATTTAAAAAAAACCTTTTTACACTTTTAGAAAACAAAATTACAAAACCAAAAACACTTATACCAAGAAAAAAAAACACATTTACATCTTATAAAACAAATTTACAAACGACAGAATCTTGACGGAAATGTACGGTGGCTGGGAAGTGCAAAGCAAAATTACAAATGTGAGACAAATTTACATTTAAAAAAAACCTTTTTACACTTTTAGAAAACAAAATTACAAAACCAAAAACACTTACACCAAGAAAAAAAAAACACATTTACATCTTATAAAACAAATTTACAAACGACAGAATCTTGACGGAAATGTACGGTGGCTGGGAAGTGCAAAGCAAAATTACAAATGTGAGACAAATTTACATTTAAAAAAAACCTTTTTACACTTTTAGAAAACAAAATTACAAAACCAAAAACACTTATACCAAGAAAAAAAAAAACACATTTACATCTTATAAAACAAATTTACAAATGACAGAATCTTGACAAAATGGGAATGTACCAAATGTTGGAAGTGACTCGGAGTGAGGGGGTCATTTTTGTTTGTTTTGTTTTGTCGCGGTACATTCCCTTTCCGTCAAGATTCTGCCGCTTGTAAAATTGTTTGGGGACTGGTAAAAGTGTTCTGCCTTGGGCGCTGGTGGCGCAGTGGTTAGGGCGGGCGCCCCATGTATGGAGGCTGTAGTCTCAAGCGGGCGGCCCAGGTTTGAGTCTGGCCTGTGGCTCCTTTGCCGCATGTCATTCCCCACTCTCTCTCCCTGGTTTCCAACTCTATCCACTGTCCTATCTCTCAATTAAAGGCACAAAAAGCCCAAAAATAAATCTTAAAAAAAAAAAAAGTGTTTCACATCTTGTAAATTTGTTTTGTCCTTGGTAAGTGTTTTTTGGTTTTGCAATTTTGTTTCATAAAATGTTTTTCAAAAATGTAAATTTGTCTCACATTTTGCACAAGTGTTTTAACACTGTTTTGCACTTCCCGGCCACCGTACATTAACACAGTCCCTGGTACTTTAAATCCTGCCGCTCCCTGAGCTCTGACATGCCCTCTTCTGTGATTGGTGCTCAGCTTAGGGGGTGTCTGGTTGCGTCATATCGAAGACAGGGATGAAAGCTTATTGGGAGGGGAGAGGAGGGGGGGGGGGGGGGTGAGAGAGAAGGGAAGAGAGAGAGAGAGAGAGAGAGAGAGAGGGGGAGAGATTAACAGAGAGTAAGAGGCAGGCGCAGTAGCAGACTCCTATATCCGCCTGACGGAGACGGACGGTGCCAGCTGCTAGCTCAGTTAGCAATAGTATACAGTTAGCAACTAGCTCCAGAGTCCTACCGCCTTTCTCACACATGAGGGACTGTGCAAGAGTGTGTGTGTGTGTGTGTGTGTGACAGCGTGTGTGTCACCTCTTTGAGTGCGCGCTCGGCCGTCCCGAAGTCACTCCGTGTGCTTGGTGTGTAGCCTACCTGTGCGTGTGCGTGTGCGTGTGCATATAAACCCCCTATCTCCTTCCTCATCCGTGCAGCAGTGTGTGTGTCTCTGTGTGTGTGTGTGTGTTAGGAGGAAAGGAGAAGACGCACACGTAAACACACTGTGACAAGTCCACTGTTTACAGTCGGTGTCCGGTTACTTGACAGAGGGATTCACTGCATCTACTGTCACCGACACAGCACCAGCATGTAAGTACTGCCGGGGTAACGCGTGTGCATACGAGTGGTCTGCATCCTGTGTGTGTGTGTGCGTGTGCATGTGTGTGTGTGTGCGTGCATGTGGCTGTCATTGAGTGCATTTGATCTCTCATTTCGCTCACAATCTTACCTGCATGTGCGCTCCAACGTGGAAAGAAACGACGTCTGAAGTTCCAGTGAGTCCAGCTGTCAACGTCACACAGGTGAATCGAGGAAGAGCTCAAACTCAATGGGGGGAAAAAAAAAACAACAACAAACTTGTTTAGTAGGTAGCCTAAATATCGACGTCTGTCTGATAGTGTAACTGTGCAAGTTTTCCTTGTGGCTAACTTTGTCTGAAGTTGTTTAAATGCAAACTCATTGCAATAGTTCCCAAAAGTGGGGTCAGAGGGCTTTTTGAAGTTGTTGCAAGATGACCCCCCCCCCATGAAAAATCATCAGTTTTCCAATGTGGAATGATTTTCAACCTTGGCAGAATACCCACTGTGTGCTTCTTACCCGCACATTGGATGGTGGGGTGCAATAAAACACTGTGTCACATTAATAAGAATGTGAAGTAACACAGAAGGGACTACATTTCCCATTGTGTCTCTATAAGTGGGAAGAAATGCCTGTTTACATGTTGGAACTTGTACATTGCACAACATGCTTGTTATATGTGAGCTGTACACTAAATGTGCTTGTGTGCAATGGCCTCATTTTGTTTTTGTCACCGATTGTACTTTTTTGCAGAAATTTGATCTCCGACCTTTGAACATGCATGTGTGTGTGTGTATTGTGTCAGATTTCATTTGAGTGCACGCAGTGTGTTCCCTCCTCAGAGCAACCTGTTACTCTGATTTGAAGAGTTGTACATTGCCAGAGCAGCAGTCCCATTCCAGAGCTGAGGAGGCTCAGTGGGAGCTGTGCAGCGATCAAACCGAGGACATTTACCTTAAAAAGTCCTACGCAGAACTTTAAAACCTAATGCAGGGGAGCGGTCAGAAACACTCATTGGGCACGATGACACTGTAGTAGCCTTGTGTGTTTGATAGTCACTGATTCATCTTGGTTATACTTGTTGCAATAATGCAGGTATAACAGAGATGTTTGTCATAGCTTAATGACAAACATGCAGACATTTGAATGCTTCATTTTTCATGTACTGTAAATTGAGTGTGCATATATGTAATGCAGCCTTTGTAGTCTTCTCCTCTCAAAGTTTCCGACTCCGGTCCTCAAAAATAACCATTGTGTGCTTCAACTTTGTCACAAAGGCAAGATTTCACTGCTGTGTTCAGTTATTAAAGAGACCATGACTTGTTGAGCTGTTAGGATTGCTGCAGTGAGATGAAGAGAAAGTTTGCTATAAAGTCGTCATCTGAATTACCAAATTCACCTGAGACATTACGACATGCTACTTTTTCTGTTAATGGTGCTTTGGGCTCAACTAGCTTCAGCATTTTGCAACTGTTGTTCAGTTTAGTTAAGTAGGCTGGTACTATGCAAGGTAGTCCAGGGATGGTCAGAGTATATCATATTTCTGCAAGAAAAGTAAAAATAATAATTTTTATATCTATAAAAAAACACAAATGAGTTATTTTCTATATTTTTAAACGGTTTTAGATATTCCAGCAACATTGATTTGAATGCGTTATTATTATTTTTTGTGCAATGTCAGATTAAAAATGTCGCCATTCATTGTCCTGCAGGAGGAACTGCAGACACGCGCAGTAGAACAGTTTAACCCCCGACACGATCTGATCAAGCGTGTACATGGACACTGATCCAAACAACCATTTCTTTCCAAATAAACGGGATTGGATGAGCCTCTTCGGGCCCTTAAGGCCCACCCAAAACGCTGTGCCTGCTTGTCGGCTCAAAGTGTTCCTTCTTGTTGTGAGGGTTCACATGAAATGAAAAGTGAATACAAAGGGGCACCTTCTCAAAAGTCTCTTTTTGCATACTGCCAACAGAGGCACCAAGAGAGAAACAGCTGCAAGAATGAAGTAACGTCGGAAGTGGAATCTGTGGGACCATTGGCAAAACAGTAAACAATGAAAGGAGAAGCAGGGATGAGCATAAACTTGTAGCACCCTGCAGTCATTCTTAATTTACAAATGACCGTTTGAGAGGGAAGTTTGAGACTATTCCTTTGTTATTCTTCTTCTCCAGTAGTTTTTGAAGTATAGTCAGTCAATATATGTGTAGAGTTTCCATTTTGTAATACTTAAAGGTGACAAATCAAATGTTCCATGGGGCACCTGCAATCAACCTTTTTTTTTTTTTACTTTTAGTTGACATTCCCCTCAGCCTCACAGCAATTTTCTTTGACTCTATTCCCTTAAAGCTGCTACGGTTACAGGCTAAAAGACATTTGACATGCTCTCAGAATTGTGTAAAATCTTGTACCGTGCAGACTGTAGCAGCAGCAGGAGGCTGGAGCATGTTGTTGATACAGCTGGGTAGGAGGACAGAGAAAGTCAAGAGCAAAACTCACCAGTGTGATTTGACATATACAATGTCAGTTTCCCACAACTAGAACTTTGCTATAGACTACAGCTCAGTCAATGTCTGCTCATGTAGAGGAACATCTTTCCGGGTTAATTTTATATTAAAGATTAGAGTTTAAATGTGAGTTGCAGGGGGGAATGTGCTCTTGTCTTTTCATTTCATATCTTCTATACAGGTAGTTCAATGTCTAGGCCCAAGGGTTCTTTTCCAGGTCCTGAGGATTTCTTTTTAGACTTTTTTTTTCCCCAGACTGCTTGGGGATTGGAACCCATGATCTAGCTTTCCGCACTAATAAGCTGCCACTTCCTCGTTTTAAGTGCAGTCACAACCGTTTGTTTTGTCCACAAATACTGCAACTAAGTAACCTTGTTCTTGCTCACAGAATGTGTTGCTCTGACTTAGGGAGCATTTAGACCTTTTGCATAAAATTACCTTTTGTTTCCATTCAGCTGTGCGTATTGTTTCATTTTCTGTGATTTATTTATTTATTTTGAAGTGAACAAGAACTTGAAGACAGCTTTGTTACCATAGGACACAAGCTATTTTTCACTTTCTCATTTCATGTGTTTGAACAGCTCAGATTCAGTATGAGCTGAGGTTACACACAGTCATCCATTACCTGGTAATGGGCTGGTAGGGCAGAGGAGGACACTGCTGATGTGTAAAGGAGGAAGGAAGAGAGTGTGGATGAATGCACACCTGTTTTCTATTCTTGGTTGTTTACTCATCATGTCCACTGACAAATCACACCTTCAGCTTATGTAAGATTCTAAAGGATTTCACATTATTTCCATTTTAACATTCAACTCTTTTGCAACCAGTGTACCAGGATTTGTGTGTGCCAGTGTGAGGCAATCTGTGGTTGAAACATGTTGAGACTAGACCTCTGTGCCTCTGGGTGTCTCTTCAGCTTAACCCTGTCTGACCCACCAGTGGGCTCATATCGCATGCTGTGCTGCGCCCGTTTTCTTACACTCAGCGAATTCAGTTTGTAGTTTCTGAAAGTACTAATGTCAGGATGACTCAGTGGGAAATATCTTTAAAGTGTGGCTGATACACAAGAAAGCAAGAGCCATTCTTTTAATGCTTCAATGGCTTTTCAAAAGAATGGTCTTGACGAAACGATTGAACAAAGTGTGAATATGATGCAATTAAAAAAAAAAAATGTACAAAAGATGTATCTTTGAAAAGTACAGAAATGAGGAAGGGGAATGTAAATCTCACAGCTGTTAATGGCGCCTGTTCATTTTGTTTGTTTGTTTTTGTTTTGTTCTGTTTTTCTTAATAGCTCGATTGGAGTATTTCTTTTGTGTTGTCCGTTTATTTTATTTTGTTTTATTGGATTTTGCATTTGTTAATGGTGAAGAATGGGGGGTAGGACTTGACAAGCCTAGTCTTCTTCCTATCCCTTTTTCGAACGAGTCAAATGTGTATTATATTGAAATTGGCTTTTTATTTTATACAGTTTTTTTATTTATTTTTCCATTTGTTTATTCATTTTCATCTATTTTTAATCATTTGAAAAAAAGAAAAGTATCCATATTTGGCATTCAAGTGTTTCAATACACGTCATATACTGTAGAGCATGGAGAAAAAGGATCTGGTGTGATGTACCTTTTTGACTCAAAAGTTTATTGTTGGAATCCCTGTCTCTTTCATGTGAGGCGATTGTTCCCCTGTTTGATTTATTTTCTCTCTCAGCCCTAATTTTAGTGACCTACTCAGCAAGGGTTGTCAAAACTCTCCTACAAATGTTTCAAGGGCTGTTTCATGTTTTGAAACCATATTATCCTATTCGGTCCTAAGCTTTGGGAAGCATGTGTTTTTTATTTTAAAGGTCACAAAGGAATGAATAGTCCCCTTGGTGAGTGTCATTCTTCTTATCTTTTATGGTGAAATCGCAGACAGGATATCAGTGCCTTTGTCTGTTTGGAGACCACTGATTTGTTTGGTATTGGCTTCAAAGGAAAAGGAAGTTTTTTTTTTTAGGTTATTGCCCAAGTGCTGGTAGATAGCCATGTGTGTGCATGTGCCTCATGGTCTGCATGTTATTAGAGCAAAGTTAATGCTAGTTTTGTGTGTTTGTGTGTCACTATCTCTGGCTGTGTACGTCAAGAACAGAGCAGAACTTTGATCTGGGAGAAGTTAATGTATGAACCAAAAATCGGCTTTTGTTCTTTTAAGCAGCCCAACACGCAGAGATTATGACCAGTACGCTTTAACTTTCGACCCTTTTTAAAAGGGGGGTGTGTGATGTTTGTCATGCTTTAGCTGTGGGTTGACTGATACACTCTGACTGAAGATAGTTTGGGTTATTGATAAACTTGGCTGTGACAATACTTGTGCTTTATGTTGTTTGTTCCACTGTCTGCCTTCCACCAAACACAGACAGAGTTTTTGTCAATCAGACAACATGCAAAGAGGGAGGGTCCAGGCTCAACATGTCTTTTTGGCTCTCAAACTGTAATTTAATTCAGTGTTACTCTTTGTGTTTGATG